TATTCCAAGGAAAAGGGTTTTTTTTTTTTTGGGCGGGGGCCCCAAAAATTTTTTTTTTCTTTTCCCCCCCAAAAACCCGGCCAAAAAAAAGCCAAAAAAATTTTTTCCCCCAGAAGAAAAAAAAAAAAAAAGGGGGTTTTTTTTTTTTTTTTTTCCTTATAAAAAAAATATAGGGGGGGGGGGAAAAAAAAAAAAAAAAATATTTTTTAAATATATTTTAAAAAAACAGATGCTATGCTTGTGTTAGATAATCAAAACAATTATTCATTTTATACGGAAGCACGGTAGTAAAGGTCAACTAAACACATTGCTCTAATGAAAATCAAATCAAATTATATCCGAACGTTTACACTTGACACGGCGACATCCAACATATGTCTCTGTTTACCAAAGTGTTCGTAATTACAATCAAACATTTATTTATAGATCTACATTAACAAATATGTTACAAAATACTAAGGGTAGTTTTAAATTGATTTAAGTACGCTAGTGATCTTTTAACAGTCTGTAGTTTACGCGAGTATCATTTAATAAAATACTTTAACGGTTTAAAACGCGATATATTTTAGTTAACCTTTTTTGGGAGTTATTTTTAACTACGGCCCGTCTCCCGGTGACCATGGCTGCTGCAAAGCATCCGAAACGTCGGGCCGTAGTCAAAAATTATTCTAAAAAAAGTTTAACTTTTAACAGTTTAAAACGCGAAATACAATAATAAAATAGATGAGGTTTTGTAACAGTCATGGTCATGCCTCACGTTTTGAATGCTCCATTATGAAAGTTTTATGGAATATACGAGTTTATTTAGAGTATGTAATATTAGATGTTGTCTGTTCTATGTCATAAGTAGACCAAGGTATTTTGTACTGTAGGTACATAATTTTAATTGCCATGTTAGTCCCCTTTGAAAAATAATATTTCCATTATAAAATAAACGTTACTCCACATAAAACATCACTTTGACCGAACCAAAGCGAATTTCGAGTCAAGTGTCCTTATCTGATAAAGGGGGTTGTTCCAAAAATTCTGATATATCGGATCAAAGGTAAACTGCAGCCACTCAGCCCGCTTTGACTGGCCAATTGGCTTTGTGAATCGCGCTACATTTGATGTTTGGTAAAAGCTAGGTGGCTATTGAGAGTGTATATTCATTTTAATATGGATTTCATAGATCATAGACAAATTTAAATCGTATAAAATAAAACACTTGTAAACGGCTTAGAAGGTGGAGTATCACTATATAGTATAAAACACAGTTGCTTTCTTTTGTGCGCTTAAATCTTTAGTAAGTTTTTTTGTAGTGTATTTAGAAGTAGCATTGCCGCCGAGCGAAGCCGGGACGGCTCGCTAGTATTAGTGAAAAGCCATGGTACTATCGAGCATACTAGCGAGCCGCCTTTTAAATTATAAAAAATATATATGTTAAAAAGTAATTTTAATGTGTAGGTAATGTGCATACAAATATTTCAAATAATATCATAAAATTTTTAATAATATTTTTCATCTTATCTAGGAATTAGAAAAAGTAGGAGTTAACGAATATTTTGTACCATATTTATTTAAGACTTAGTCAATAAACAAGTTACATATAGGTAGGTACCTAACATCCTAATCTTACCCACATCGCTAGATAATGCTGGACAAGTTAGGTCAGTCTGTAGGACTCTTCAGACTGTCAATCGTTTTGCGTGAGAAAGATTAACATGCTACGCCTTTATTCGTCAAGTGGTACGAAAGAATCTTTCCAGAGACGAGTTGTAAAGTGCTTCAAACAATACTGCGAATCTAACGTCAGGATTGCGATGTAAATAAAAAGGAAAAGATTCTTATACGATATGATCTGATAAATCTAACAAGACATTTACTTGTCTGTAATGCATGATCCTTCTTTTAATGTAAACTAGTATTTTTAACGAAATCTTATTAGACACACATACATAGATCTTAGATTACATACGTCCACAGAACCACGTCTACTTGATGTGAGAGATAAAATGATTTAGCCAAGATCATATCTAAATTTGAGGCACTGTTGGCATATTGATGGACATTATAATCCACATATTGAAGCCCAATCGAGCGAATTTACACATAGCTTTTTAATCTACGGATTGTGCCTAGCTCTGGACCTTAGGGAATGTTGATATTCTTACCAATCATTTAATATCCAGACCTTATAGAAAAGTTATGAAGAGATTATAGAAACATGCTGAATCTTGAGGAAATCAAACCGTTGGCAATTACGGTCCATACCGAACAAGTCGGTCGTCCTTTTAATAAAGGGTTAAAACACATTTAAGATGATAAAACCCATGAGCGTTTGGCTCAATCGATTCTAATAAAAAAAAAAAAAAAAACTTCACCCACATACTTGTTACACAACATTCAAACCAGTTCCTCCGCTATTTAGCATATCTTTGTCTATCTCAATTGTGATAGAGAAGGACAGATATATAATACGATTCCGTACTAAACTAGTTTCTTGAGTTCGTCACGGTCCAACGCTTTATACAGGGGGTGATAAAAATATACGATAAGATTACTGTAAGGCTCACCTTTAGTAATAAACGTTTTAATTGACGTGAATATTAATGTAGGTTTGGTTTTTTAGATTGTTAAAAAATAATACGTGGTTCTATGTGTTTGTAACAATCTAATAAGACAATAATTAAATACTGTCTGTAATTTACGCGAGTAGTACACATTTAAATAAACACTTAACAGTTTAAAACGCGATATATCTTAGTGAACCTTGTTTGAAAGTTATTTAAACTACGGCCCGATGTTTTTACCTTGACGTCAGAGACCCTCCATTTTTAATCTCCCCGTGACCGCGGCTGCTGCATAGCATCCGTGACGCCGGGGAGTACTTAGTCAAAGTAAATTTCAAACAAGTTTAACTAATATATATCGCGTTTTAAACCGTTAAAGTGTTTTATTTAAAAGACAATAATTATTTATATTGTCGTGGTATTTTCAATACGTCTAGCTATTCGTTACAATTACGCTACACTACCTGTTATTTCTATAGAAGGTTTCTTATTTTTTGATTCCATTTATTAGTTTAAATTCTGATTTTCACAATTAGGAAATTTTGACACATTGATTATTTTAATTATAGTCATCGGTATAAAAATCGAAAAGAGTCGTCGCTAAAGTAAACGTAAGGATAATACCTAAGTTACTTTCACAATAAAAGTGCCACATTGTAATGAATAACTATAAGACTACAACCGATAGTAATAAAACGTCAGAAAATCAAATTACACGGCACAACCCGAAAAGCCTTAATCGTCCGAAATATTTCTTCGAACACCTTTGTCGCTCGTCCATTGACAGTTTTTTTTCCTTTGTACACTGGATATAAATTTCCACAAACTCCATCTTTCAACAAAGCGATGTCATTGTTCGTATTTTAATATCGAACACACGAGCGTATAAATAATGCCCCTTCAACTATTTGTTGTTAATTGAATGAATCCGTGCTGTCTGGTGACTCTGGATACTGGACAATATTAATAGTGTAGGCTATCCCATTCATGGTGTTGCCTTGTAAGTATTGGCTTTTTTTCGACCGTTTCATACAGAGAACAATCGTTATACATAATAATTTCGTCAAAAACAGGACAATGAAGAAACGTAATTTGAATTTTATTTTCATTTTTAAGTTTAAGGAAACAATTTTAACAGTTTAAGATACTAGCAGCAGCCGTGGTCACGGGCAGACTGGGAGAAGAGACAGAGTCTCGGCTGCTGTAAAGCATCCGAAACGTTAAAACAATTTCCAAAAAAAGTTTAACCAATATATATCGCGTTTTACACCAGAAAAATTGTTTTATTTCAATATTTTGTATCTACTGCTGAGTGTGAATTTTTATTGTTTATCTGCACGTATTTACTCGTAGTTAGACGTAGGTTACTTTTATATACTCATAAAAATAAGTTTCATACATCGCCTATCGTCGTATTATAGGTATATAGGTACTAGTTTTTGAGAATTGCTTCCCCGAGCATTTTTAAAAATACGAAACAGCGGTAATAAAGTACAAAGTTCGATAAAATTGATTATTAGATACCTTTTTGAAGTCAAGTTGAAATATTTTAGTCGAGCGGTTGCTGAGATTGCAAATATTTATTATGGCTATCTTTATAAATTAGTATTTGGGATATAGGCATAGATATGGACTATTAAAATGGAGACAGACAATGTTAATGTGTTACGAATATAGAAGTAACGGTATTAAAAGCTGCTATTGTCAGCCTCTTCATTGTGGTCGTGATGAGTTCGGGAATTGAAATTTAATGGAAATATCAAATGAAATTCACAGAGACATTCTTCGGACAACTCTTGCAATAATGGCAACTTCTGATGAATAGATTTGTTCATTTATAACTTTCATGTGAAATTAAACTTAGAGATCGTTTTAAAACGGAAATCACGCAAAACGGAAGTCAATTTGTGCAGATGACGCGTTTATTATTTAAACATTTTTAGATATAATTTTTTTTAATCTCAGGCGTGGGTGAAGTACCCTAGGATGGATACGACAAAAGAAAGAATTATTGTCTTTTAAATAAAACATTTTAACGGTTTAAAACGTGATCCATATTAGTTAAACTTGTTTGAAAATTACTTTAATATACTAAAATGCAAAGCATCCATGGCCACGGGGAGACTAGAGATGGAGGCTGTCTGTGACGTCAAAGTAAAAACGTCGGGCCATAGTTTAAATAATTTTCAACAAGATTAACTAATATATATCGCGTTTCAAGCCGTTAAAGTGTTATATTTAAATGTGTACTACTCGCGTAAACTACAGACAGTATTTAATTATTGTCTTATCAGATTGTTACTAACATATAGAATCACGTATTATATTGTAACAATCTAAAAATCTACACAAGATGCGCCGGCAACCTATTTTAGCTTTGGATATTCGGAAATCCACAGACTGAAACCGAAACGCGATTAAGCCTCACAGTGTTTTCATCTGTGGACAATGGTACGTGATCCGGACGGAATTTCCATATTCCTACCACTCATTTGATACCTACTCGTTAATCTATTGTCTTCTGAGTATATTAACTGTTACACGCATTTCGTGTTTCACGTCAGCAGAAAATTTAAGTTGCCCCAAGAATGTCACTTTATGTAGCGATAACAGAAGCGTTTATAGATTAGGCCGTTAACACATGTATGAAGAATAGTTCTTTTTATGTGGAATGCCAAGAATTGTAAACTAGATACCTGGTCAACATATATAAGTTAAAAGATTTAGCTAATTTCAATATTGCTAAATATGTTTAGTGTTATAGTACTATTCCTAGTAAATTTTTTGCTCGTTCAGAGCCAGGATCCTGTATACAATGTAGAGGACGCAGAGAAACATTTTGAGGAATTCATGACAGCTCACGATAAAAAATATGAGAGTGATTCAGAAAAGTTTCAGCGACTGTTGATATTTACAAGCAATTTACACGAGGTTAATAAAAAGAATGCAGAAAGCAGAGGCGCGGTATACGGTATTAATTTACTTCTTTTGATTTATATTTGTGATTATTTCATGCCTTTAAATTGACTATACTTTGGCGACAGTAGATTGTTTGAATAATTATTATCTTACTAGCTAACCTGGCCAACGTTATTTTGCTATATGAAATATTCGACCAAATTTCATAAACAAAAAGACAAACAAAAGGTTCTTGTGAGTTAATCTAAAAGAGATGTCCGGAAATTTCTTAGATCATTTAAAAATGAGAATTTTTTGGGTACTTTCATACATATTTTCTGGGTATCATGAACCGTTTTAGCAACGCACGCAACGGTAACCCTCAACGCTGAATAGCTTTCTCCTTTTTTTCCAAATTTCCCATTGCAGATCGCTGCCGTTTTTTAGAGGCAAAGCCTTCCTCGATAAATGTTCTAATCAACCCAATTTTACAATCCGAACAAGTAGTTCCAACGGTTGTATTGTTAAAACAAACAAACTCTTCAGCTTTACAATATAGTATAGATCGACATAAACTTGCTGCACGGGTTTAATATAAAATATGTATTATAATTAGGAATCAAAGTGTTATTAGTATATCCTATGCGTAATAATAAGACTTATTGAACTCGCCAGGTATAAATAAGTTTTCTGACCTCACTAAAGAAGAGTTCCTCAAATACTACACGGGATTTAAACCGGGCACGAAAGAACCAAAATGCGCTGTCTCAATAAGTGAACGGAACTCCTCAATTACGGCACCAGATGCATTTGATTGGAGGAGCAAGAATGTCGTTAGTAGAGTCAAGGACCAGAAGATGTGCGGTTCCTGTTGGGCGTTTGGTGCTTCTGGTAAGTATAAATATATTCTAAGACAAACCAAGCTGTTACCCAAGACGTTGTTTTTGCGAGTTAATCTTAAGAGACGCTCTAACCGACACAACAATATTTTTTCAAACCGAACTAGTAGTTCCTGACATTAGCGTGTACAAACAAACATTTTTTTTAGCTTTACAATTTTATTATAGATAGAAATTGTCGTTTTATACACATACGTAACGATATTTCTTAAATAAATATATATTTTCTCGATATTTAAAGTGAGTCTTAACGATACGAGCCGTACTGATCTACAGTAAAACGGTGACCTACCTCGTATCAGCATATCTTTTTCCTTGGAATATATTTACCATTAATTGCATTATAATATTTCTCTGCTCTGTAGTAGAATAATGTCATCTCAATGGTGACACAGGCATTTTTTTATTTTAAGGTGGCTTTTTAAAAATCATAATTAGACATTTTAACACAATTCTAGGCGCCGTCGAAAGTGAATACGCAATAAAATATAAGAAAATACAAGAAATATCCGAACAGCAACTGGTCGATTGTGATAAGAGGTCCGAGGGATGCTCTGGTAGTACGGAGTTGGAGTTTCCATTTTAGTAAGGCGAAACGCATGAATAATATTAATTTCTTTATGAATAATTTCCACTCAAGTTTTCGACGGGCTCGTGTAGATCCGGTAGGTTAATACTCAACGGGCCATAGGTTCGATTCCCAAAGGGTCCAACATTTATCCAAAAATTTCAATTTTTTCTGAAACATGTTGGACTTCGTCTGGAAATCTGGTATTAAATAGGTGGTGGGAATATTAAAATTTTGTCCGGGCTACGAACCACCGTCCACAGATGATACAGCCGTGAATTTTAACTCTATAAAAAAGTAAGATAATATACTGAAATTTAAATAAAACACTTTAACGGTTTAAAACGCGATATATATCGCGCCGAAGTTAAAAACTATTTGAAAATTACGTTTAACTTCGGTCAGACGTTTAGGATGCTTTGCAGCAGCCTGGGTCTCCGCGAGACTAACTTAGTCTCCCTGTGATATAGTCGCGAATATATATCACGTTTTAAACCGTTAAAGTGTTTTATTTAAATGTGAACTACTCGCGTAAACTACAGATAGTATAGTATGCTGACATTTAAAAAAATCATGTATTTGAAAACAAAAAAATTCTTTTACAAAGCAATTTTATACTCAGTTAGTAAGACTTTGCAGAAAAGTGATATGAATTCGCTTATATACATATATACTGCCACGTATAAAACAATTATTTTTCAGTCATTTCATTGAAAATGGAGCCATGTCAGAAGAAGACTATCCTTATGAGGCAAAAGATGCAAGTTGTAAATATGATACGAGTAAAGTTAAAATAAAACTAGAAGGCTGCAGAAACCTCGATGTCAAGAATAATGAGGACAAACTTAAGGATTTGTTGCATGAGTACGGGCCAGCAACCATAGGTAGGTATATGTATTATTTTTTCATCTATGGACGGTGGTTCGTGACCCGGATGGAATTTCGATATTCCTACCACTCATTTAATATCCAAGTTTCCAGACGAAGTTCAACATGTTTCAGAAAATTAATCAATTGAAAATTTAAAAACACGTTAGACCCGCTGGGGTTCGAACCCACGATTATTACTAGCCACACATTGCCATTAGACCAACGAGTCCTTTAAAACTACTTTTATCTAAAATTAAGTTTAAAAAAAATAAATATTTTCAAGTAAAATGAATTGTAATTAAACTACATATTTGTATTTTTTTGGTACACGCTTAAAACACAACATAGTTTCTAAACACTTTAAAGCTTAGAATTTGTTGCGAAACAAATTGCTTTATTTTCATTTAAAAATCGAAAGTAAATTGAAAAAAAAATTTCGACACGGGCAGGAATTAACCCGGCATCGTCAGCGTTCCGTGCTGTTGCTCTAACCAATTGAGCTACCGTGTCAAGCTACGATGACGGTTCGAGTCCTAACCGAGTCGAAAGCAATTTTTTAAATTTATTTTCGATTTTAAAATTATATAGTGCCTTCATGTGCAATAACATGTAAAAAATAATAAAGTTTTCAAATGCTTTATTTTCATATTATATAATCTCTTCAGCTATCGATGCATCTGCTCTCTCTGGATATACTTCTGGTGTTGTGCTTGCGGATGACTGCGAAAGTGATACTGTTAACCATGCTGTTTTGCTGGTTGGTTATGGAACAGGTAATTATTACCTAATATTTATGACGACAGAGAAGGACAGACAAACAAAGGGATAAAAAAATGGCAACAGCACTATAAAATCAAATTCAGTGCGCTGTCAACCTTTATTAGCTTTGGACATAACGATTAACTATAGCAAAAATTACACATAACATTAAACGACGTTTACATGCTAAGAAAATCAAAAAAGATTTACAAACTTTCACAAGTCCAACTAGAAAAAAAGTGTCCGTGTTCCTATCATTTGTACCAAGCACTATGTGTAAGCTGTACCCGCGACTTTGTCCACGTGGAATAGTTATTTTGAGCATCATACATATACATATATCGCGGAAATTTTAGGTTATTTAAAGAAGAATAATTCTTTCATATGTTTCTTTCGGTTACTTAAACTGTTTTCGCAGCGCACGCATCGGAATCCGTAGAAGATTAATACATTTACATTTTTTCTACGCTTTTTTTATTCTGTAAAGCCTTCCTCGATAAATGGTCCAACCAAAACACAAAGAATTTTTAAATTCGAACCATTAGTTCCTGAGATTAAAACGTTCAAACAAACAATCTCTTCAGCTTTATAATATCAGTATAGATATATATAATTTTCTTGTTCAATTAAAATTAGTATAATCGATGTATCTTATACGTTGGTACATGTCAATAAGGCTTGGTCAATTAATAACAATTTATTTCATTTCAGAAAAGGATGTTCCCTTCTGGATCATTAAAAATTCTTGGGGTGAAAGTTGGGGAGAGAAAGGGTACTTCAGGATGCAGAGAGGCATCAACTGCCTAAATATTCAAGCTAGTAAGCCAGTGCAAGCTATCATTGCTTAAAACAATATTTCAAAATAAATACATTGTTTTAATTAAATTAAGGAATGAGTTTTCTTTCAAAATTTGCTTTTAATTATCCGGTCTTAGGTTTGCTCTAAGCTGTAAAAAAATAAAATTAAAATTACAAAATTATTCCGTTTGTAGTTAAGACTAGGTTATACAGAATATACCTATTACGTGGTATTATTCGACCATGACTATAGCTAAACGGAGAAATGCGTTGCCAAGCATTGCGTAAAACGCGAGAGAACCTAGGTTTTAATCCCGGAATAACAATAAATTGTTTCGGTCGGGCAGGTCACAGAAGTTCGATTCTTTAAATGGACACAGAAATGTCTTCGACCTGTGCCCCCCGGAGTTGAAGGGGGGGCTGAGCTGATTTCACAAATACGTGGTATTATTACTAGAGAGTTAGATAGGTATAACACACTGCTTTATTCCATTGTACTACTTCTTTCTACTCAAGCATAGAATACCAGTAACTAAAAATACGTGTACTGTTCTCTTGTCCAGTATACAGAATACATTTCATTGATAAACACTCACAATTCCTATCGGTAGCTTTCCAGAATCGAGTTAATCCCACTTAAGGCGTTTTCACACAACAATGAGTTCTCTAAAAGTGGTAACAATGCGTGGTCGGTTAATGAAATGGCTGATCAATGTTAATCTCGGTGCCGTACTGTCTGCCGGCTACGTCAGATGTTAGGCGGTGTACACACGAACGACGAAACGGCGTTAAACTTTTATAAATACTTGTCATTAAAATATTCGTGAATATTTTTTCATTAACGTACTAGAGAAAATAATTCGACCGCCTCTATAGCCAAATTGTTAAACATGTTGCCTAGCATTGTGTTAAGCGCTAGAGGTCCTGGGTTCGAATCCCAGGGATATAATAGATTACTTCGGTCGGACAAAGCACAGATGTCTGATCAACTACTTGCCTATAAAAGAACCGATCTGTGAGACGGACACAGAAATGAGTTCGTCCCATGCCCCACAGGGAGAAACGGGATTTCACTGACTACACAATAAATACTTAATGTAGCCTGTGTTAAATCTTTGTGTAAATCATGGCATTAATTCAGAAGTCCAATTTAAAGCCAATTACAGTCGCTATATGTAGTACTGTAATTGCTTTAAATTGGACTTATGAAAAAGTTATATAATATTAAAAAAAAAATAAGTTTTTTATTACCTTTTTAGAAACTTTTTCTGATTTTTCTTCCGTTAGCTAACTATTAAAACTAAACGCATCTTTGTCATATTTTTTTTAATACATAAACCGCTCGTCTATAGCTAGCCTTATTTTCGTTATATTTGAAATAAGAATCGAAACCTAGAGCGGTTTTGACAAAGCGTTACTATGTTATAAGTCAATTGTGAATCTTTCCGGCTTAGTAAGGTGCTCTGTGAATGAAGTTTAATAAAGGCTGTGTAACTATTGTACATTAATAGAATATTTAATGTATATTGAAGATATAGTGTAAATTAACTTAAGTGGAAGTTACAGTGCCATGATTTAAAAGTTCTATAGTCGTTTGATAATAACTGAGCGAAAAGGCATTTGCAATTGTACCCACTCGTACCTGTCGAGTATTTACTGATAATAAGGATGTATTGGTATTTAGTACTTCTGTGATACATATCGATACAAACTAATATACCCGTAGGCATTTGTGGATGAAGCAGTATTTGTGGTGGAATAAGTAGGTACTTCACTATTTGATATAAATTAGGTATTATTTGAAATTTCTCTGCAAATTTAAGACGAAGAATACATACAAATAAAAAAAGTTATATAATTTAAAAATCTAAAATAAATTGAAAAAAATTTTCGACTCGGCCAAGTCTTGAACCGGCATCGTCAGCGTTGCGTGCTGTTGCTCTACCACTTAAGCTACTGAGTTATTAATACATGCACCTCTCGCGCAACGGCAATGCCGTTTCAAGTCCTGCCCGAGTCGAAAAATTTTCAAATTATATAGTGCTTTCATGTGCAATAACATGTAAAAAATAATAAAGTTTTCAAAGAAAAAAGAGTTGTTTTAAAATAGCATCTATATATTGGTCTTTCATATTTACGTATGTTATGTATAAAATTGACATAGCTCCATATCATTAGAAACTATTTCATGACGTATATGTGTTAAAAGAATTCGTTTCGATGCGTATTTAAGTTTTGAGAATAGTTTACGCGAGTACTAAAAATTTAACAATAACATTTAAACGGTTTAAAACGCGAAATATATTTGTAACTTTTGGTTTAGTCTGAAAAGAATATGAAACTGAAACTAATATATTTCTCGTGTTAAATTTGTTTTTTTTTTCAATGTGTAGGTTACACAATACAATATAGAGGAGAAAATAGCTTAATTCTTCGCAACAATGCAAAAGTTCCGCGTATTTTAAACGAATGAAAGTGCGGAATTATTGTCGGAGGCTACAATTTCAACAATAGTGGATATCAATGAAATATCGGCGTTTCTGAGGGCTTAGGCCGTTGTAAATATTTGTGAATGGGCGATGCTTGAACAATGAAGAGATGAGCAGCGCTAGGTGGTTTTGTTTACCCAGACTTCGTAAGTAGGCACTTTCTTTATCAAATGAAAGTTGGTGAATTTATTCCGAAAGTAAATACCGATATTAAAACTTTGTATCTTACCGAGGAAAGTATTTTAAAAGGTGTTTATATCTATATCAATAATATAACAATTGACCGCTTCATTAGGTTAGGTAAGTGCATTACGAATAATACGAGATGAGCAAGGTTCGAATCCAACGAAAGTACCTATATACCTAGAAAGTCGGGCAGGTTGTGACCTGCCCTTTTATGTCAGATGGGAATAGATAAGCAGGTTATTGACTTGATGGTATTTGAAATACTCCACCTACCATCGCCAAAGACATTTTCAAAGTTTAATCAATTACTTGCATGTAATTAAAATTAATCGATAAAACAGACCCAAAAATATTTCTGCCCCAAGCCCCATATAGGGACGAGACCAATATACCGAATTTAGCTATAATAATTTATCATAAGTAAGTAGGTACATTCTTTAAATACTGTCTGTAATTTACGTACGTAAATTACATTTAAATGTTTAAATAAAACACTTTAACAGTTTAAAACGCGATAAATATTAGTTAAACTTATTTGAAAATTATCTTAACTATGGCCTTATATTGACCCCCATGACCACGGCTGCTGCAAAGCATTATTATATTAAATTAAATGAGGGAAATCTAGTGTTGAAACTCTCTGCGTCAGCATAAACATACAGCGTTGTTGTAACGCTGATTTTTACGATAGGTACTAATGCTTAGTAGATTTAGTAATTAGACATTTGAGTTAGATTTCAAAATTAAAGGTCCATCACTGTCCGAAGCCATTGTCCATATTTCTGAATTGGGTTTCGCGCATTCGCCTCCGTTTTGTGTCCAGCATCGACAAGCGTCCCATTGTGGTGAGACAAGTAGTTTCCGAAAGTATGCCACCCTGGTGTTTCGCTAATTTGTACAGGTACGTATTTGGAGATTGATTTTAAACATTTAAGTGTCGATTTAACTTTGTTTACCATTCTATTCTAATATCATAAAGCTGAAGAGTTTGTTTGTTTGAACATGCTAGTGCGTAAACTTCAAGAGAAGATATATACCTTTTGTGTTGGTTGGACCAAGTAATTGCGGTGACTTTAGACTGCAAAACATCAGACTGCGACCAATAGGAGTGAACATAGTAGTGGAAAAATATATATATATATATATATATATATATATATATATATTAATATATATATATGTATGTATAAACTTATGTTAACACGAACCATTTTTATGGTAATCGGTAATTTGGGCACATATGTTGAGGGTTGTTAGATTCGGCTCTGGAGTCAAGGTGCAACCCGTTGCAAAGAGCCAAAATTGTCCAAAAATTCTAAACGATCGCCCATTGTGCACACACACCCAACACAATGCCCATAATCGCCCATCCTTAGCCGCCTTTGTCCTCAATACTTCTTCGCTAAATAAAAATTTTTAGCACCTGAAACTCGAACGGACTATGTGGCTAATTTACGGCAGAGTAGCTTATATTTAGTGACAGTAAGAGTCGTTTTCGTGTGAATAGTTTAAAGATTGTTAGGTCCTTTTATCATACGCGGTACAAATGACATTTCACATGTTTGCCATAGAATCATTGTTATATACACCTATTGTTGTAATTGTTCACTATTGTTGGACGGATCAATGCGAAACATTTTAATATTATGAAATTATAATAAACGTCTTCCGTGCGTTACGTGGAATATAAAATCCATGGACAGGCCTAATTTCGGAATTTTATCAATTCGTAGATAGATAATTTATACGATATGCACCTACAGTCATAATTGGTACCATTAGTATTGAAACTTATTTTCTTAGGTACCCAATCCAGAAATGATGTGTATAATGCTATCAAGGTATACATTTTTGCTAGTATTACAAGAAACATACCCACATAAATATAGAACAAGTAGTTTTGTTAGTCAAGTCCATACCTATATTTATCAAACCCGTTTAGGTCCATCGTTTATATTACATCAAATTACAACTAAAAACAATTCGAAATGATGGGTTATCATAGCGCCAAACTTGTAGGTTTTCTTAAACTATTTTCGTCGAGAAATGGTTTTATAATTTTAACATGTTATATCGACTCCACAACATCTCTGTTCCACCCACGATCATAATTTATTGCAAAAGTGTCTCCGTATTGATTGTAGCATTTTTTTATTTCGCAGCTTAGACAAACGCATCCGGCCAGTGTGAAAAGTTTCATTCTCTTTGTCTGCGCCTTCTGGTAAATTGTGTAATTCAAGATGTCTCTTTCTACACAAAAGCGAATATTGTGTCAGAAGGATTGCGTCCGGTATCTAATAAAGATGTAGGTGACGATGTATGGGCTCAATTTAATTTAATAGTGGGATTTTGGAAAGTTCGGAACCTTGACGAGA